TGCTGTTTAAAACCAGAACCGAGCCGGTGACATTGCACATAAAGGAGCGTATAGAACGTGTGTGGAGGGGTGGAGGGAGCTCCTGCTCCAGGGCACTGCGCTGCGGGAGAGGCAGGATTCGGGGCTCGGAGTGGCCGAACTGCAGGTGCTGGTGCTCCCCACGCTGACTTCTCGCAGCAGCTTTAGCCAAATCACATTAATCCTTCTGTTTGCATCCCTGAAACTTCAGTTTTCCTCGCTGAGATTCCCTTGGCAACTTTACAGCCTCTTGCTACGCACAGTATAAAAATATCTCTCTATATGTGTACGTATCTAACCAGGCGGGGGGCTGACCTTGGCTGACCCTTCCTACCACTCCTCTAATACAAGGAATGAGGCCAAACCCACCTGCTTTTCACACAAAAAGGATCTCCGAATCAAAGAAGCGTTGTAACATTTCTCGGGGTTCACGAGCTGAGAAATGGGTCACTAGAGGACGAAAACCATCTGAACTGCTGGGGTTTCAACCCCGAGCCCCACATCAAGGTTGACATATGGTTGACACTGGGTTCCTGGTCCCTACACTCCGTCGGGTCTCCAACCCCTTTCCAGGCTCCCACACCTTTTCAGTCTCTACTTTTTTATAGCATCTGCCCCCCTCCAGCCTCCAACCCCTTTTAACCCTACACTTTTTTCCTGGTCTCTACCCCCTTTACAGTCTCCCACTCCTCTTCAGCCTCCACCTGTTTCCTGGTCTCTACCTCCTCTCCAACTTCCCACCCCTTTTCCACCTCTCATCCCTTTTCAGCCTCCACTTTTTTTCTGGCCTCTACCCCCCTCCAGCCTCCCCCCCTTTCTCAGCCTCCACTTGTTTACTGCTCTCTACCCCCCTCCAGGTTCCCACCCCTTTTCAGCCTCTGACCTGCTGGGGTTTCACCCCCAGCCCCACACTGATGCTGACATCTGGGTGATCCCCCAGCCCCTCCCAAAGCGGGGGGAGTTTCCCTTTAGGCTTCCCCCCAGGGTGGGCGCCCTGGCAGACAGAGCCGTTGGGTAAAGGAGCCCCGGGGGTCCCGCGGTGAGTGACCCAAGGTCAGGTGTGCCCCAAGGGATAACAGGTGGGACCCCTGGCAGGAGGGGCAGTGTCTGTGTGAGGGGGACGCCCTGGGCAGAGTTCCCTGCTGGGGAAGGACCTCCCGCCTCCCTGGACTGGGCTCCAGGCAGGTCTGGCCTTTGTAAACCCGGGCTGTGCGGAGATTCAGCGTGTGGCTTCCTTGGTCTTATGCGTTTGTCTTGTTGACCTGGTTGTCTCCCGTCCCTTCCATAGGAGACTGCATGTCACCAGTTACCCCCCATTGCTGGCTGTGCGGTGTCGTTGTTGGGGTCACTGGGGTTGACGTCGATTATGTAGAACCTGACTGACTTGTTTGTACCCCCAGCGCTCACCCGTGTGCGGACCCTTTTGCATCAAATCCAATCTGGCTATTGGTTCATCCTGATGCTGCCTGTGTCCTTTAGGCTCAGCCTGATATCTGGCGCAACACCATCTGCCCCCAAGTGACTGGGACCTTCCTTCGGCGGGTGCGGGGTTGACGGTGTCACCAAAATTGGGAATAAACCTCTTAACCCCAACGCAGCATCAAGCAGCAGATATTTGTTGGGCGCCGGGTGCGTGGGGGATCATTCCTCCTCACGTGCACACCCTGAAACAAAAGTCCATCCTTTACATTCCTTAAATACGGGAATATTCATACATTTTCCGAGAACTCTCTGCCTTTTCACTATCAACTACCTTTACATAAAGTTGGTGTTGCAAAACCACGCTACACACGTGCGGGGGTCTCGGGTGGTCGTTTGGGGAGTTGCCCCCTACTCCTTTTTCCCTTTTATGGTCACGAGTCTTTTGAGGACAATTCCTTCTCCTCAGACGTTTCCCAACAATATTGTCGGACCAAGATGGTTTTTTTGGCCTTGAGCAATTCTGCCAGGACGCACCGATTCGCAGGGTTAGGGCAGCTTCTTTCCACACTTTAATCACTCAGGCTTCGTTAAATACAAAGTTAAACAGTGTGTGATTTTTTAAAAATACAAAACAAAACAAAAAAAAAACCACCCCAAAACATTGGTTTGAAATTCAACATTTCCACCCTTGTGAGACGGCCAAAGCGCGACCTCTCTGGGGGTCTCCATCGGATTGCGTAACTCTGAGAATACTGTCGGCTTGCAGGTACGGCCCGTTGGCTCAGGGTGCCCATATGAGCGATAACCGCCCGTTTCTCTCATCGCTAATTGTTACAGGCCGCGACTTGCCGCCGTCAGGCCGCAGCGC